AAAGCTCTAGTAATATTACTAGGGCTTTACGAGGAAACAGCTATGCCCGTGTTTTCATTTCCTCGTAAGGTCCTAGTAAGGTCCTAGAAATAATAACACTAGGACTTTACGAGGAAAATCTTTACGAGGAAATAGCTATGTCCGCGCTTTTTTCCTCGTAAAGTCCTAGTAATGCTTACGAGGAAATAGCTATGCCCGTGTTTTCTATTACTAGGGCTTTACGAGGAAAGGGTTTGTAATTCCCTAAACTCGAAACCCCAAACACCAAACCACAACTTCCTCAACTTATAACCTCTTCTACAACTAAACTTCTAACCTCTTCTACACCTAAATCCCAAATTCATTTTTTTTTATTAAACAAGCTTAAAAACATACGTAATTCAACTCTTTTTTTTGTTATTAAGCAAACTTATAAAACATACTTAATTGAAATTGGTTTTTGTGATTAAACAAACTTATAAAACATACATAATTCATTCGGATACATTCTCATAATCCGTAGAAACATCATCATTTTCGGCAAACTTTTCCTCAACACCGTCGTCCGTTGAGTGATCAGGGACATCTTCGTATTCACGATTATGCGGATCAATGAGTAGGATGTCATCAATTTCTGCTTCAGGTTCCTCGATTTCATTGGTGTTTTCTTCTTGCAATGGTGGTTCTTCTCCCTCGATTATCCATCCTCGAGGTGTCACTTTGATAACAGCTAACCAGTTTATTCCCGTTGTAGTAATCCGAGGGTATGGAATGAAGCAAACTTGATCTGCTTGGGAAGCTAGTATGAAAGGCTCGAATTTATTGTACCTGCAAAAATTAAGACAACGGAGAAATTATTATTTCTCAGAACATGCATGTACATATGTCAAAAAAGAATTTGTTGTACCTTCGTCCACCATTGACGTCAACTACACCGTTCTTGTTAATCCGAACACCTCTGTTGACGACGGGGTCGTACCACTCACACTTGAAGATAACGCATTTCAAACCCATACCTGGGAATTGAACTTCATAAATCTCCTGCAAGATCCCGTAGAAANACCTTCGTCCACCATTGACGTCAACTACACCGTTCTTGTTAATCCGAACACCTCTGTTGACGACGGGGTCGTACCACTCACACTTGAAGATAACGCATTTCAAACCCATACCTGGGAATTGAACTTCATAAATCTCCTGCAAGATCCCGTAGAAATCTGTTTCGCCTTTCACACATATTCCATAATTACTTGTCGCCTGGTGTCTATCATAGTCATAGGTATGAAAAGTATAGCCTCGGGTGAAATACATCGATGATGTAGTGACCTTTGCAACTGGACCTTGGAGTAATTCGCGAAACCATGCGGGATACTGAGGATCGTCATAATTAACCTGCAACAAAAAGTAATATAGCTAGACATATTATACTTAATTTGTGGTAATGCATGCATAAAATTTAAGTAATAATAAATACGTGTTTCCTCAACAACTTGATAAAGTGTTGATCTTTCCTTTTGTCTAACTCATGTGTCGATATACCATGTATTGCTTCCTAGACTTAAGTCACAAATTGGCTGTAAAATCATATATGTTATGTTATATATATGTAATATTGAAATATATGTATATATATATATATAACTGTGTATGTTTACATATTTACCTTTCAAAATAATCAATCAATGGATGCTCGCAATTAAGAAGAATATAAAGGTGTGCACTATGGACGTCTTCATCACTCGACCACCAAATCTCTTTCAATTTCCCACCCAATCGCCCAATTTGACAAAAGATGTCTGGAACATCGTCTTCCATATATGTTGGCACGAAACCACCATCATCATATCTTCTTGGAGCTCGTTTCCTTGTACGTACTTTCGGTGCAAAGTAGTACGATGTGAAATATGATGTTTCTTCCGTCAAACTTCCCGCAACAATAGAACCTTCAACTCTTGCTAGGTTTTTGGCTTTTCCTTTCAAAGTTTTCATGGCCCTTTCATACTGATACATCCATCCATAATGCACAGGTCCACGAAGTAATGCCTCATACGGGAGGTGGACAACTAGGTGTTCCATGACGTCGAAAAAAGTAGGCGGAAATATTNTACTGATACATCCATCCATAATGCACAGGTCCACGAAGTAATGCCTCATACGGGAGGTGGACAACTAGGTGTTCCATGACGTCGAAAAAAGTAGGCGGAAATATTTTCTCCAAGTTGCAGATTAAGACAGGGATGTTTTCATGAAGTTGTTGGACAACTTCCACTTTAAGAGTGCGGGTGCTCAGATCCCTAAAAAATGTTCCAATTCCTATATATTTACAAAAACAAACATTATCCACATTAGTATATATATATGTATAATCATATCATCGTATTATATTAATTAATTACCTGAAAGTGCTTCATGTACTTTTGCCGGTAGTAGTTTAGCAAACGCAAAGGAAAGTAGTCGCTGCATGAAGACATGGCAATCATGGCTCTTCATCCCGGAGAACTTTTGCCCTTTCTCAACACATCTTGAGATATTTGAAACATACCCATCAGGAAACTTCACTTTTGAAGCCACCCAGTTGAACAGCGCAGACTTTTTTTCTGATGACAGTCTGAATATTGGAATTGGAACTTGCCCATTGCTTTTTATATGCAGCTCACTCCTTGAGCAGATATAGGGTAAGTCTAACCTCGATTTTACGTTGTCTTTCGTCTTCCCTGGGACGTTCAATATAGTGTTCATGATGTTCTCAAAAAAATTCTTCTCTATATGCATCACATCGAGGTTGTGGCGCAAAAGAAGATCTTTCCAATATGACAATTCCCAAAATATACTCTTTTTGTGCCAATTGTGCTGAACACCAGAAAAATCAGGCATATTACTCGGAACACGCCAATTCCCACCACGAGGAGCTGTTTCTAGAGCACAGTAGTAATCGATTTGCGCTTCGATTTGTTCTCCAGTTAAATATGGAGGAGGAGTGTCTCTGACAACCCTTTTGTGCCTGAACAATTTCTTGTTTCTTCGGTACGGGTGGTGGATGGGAAGAAATCGACGGTGACAATCGAACCAACTAGTCTTCCTACCATGCTTCAACTGAAACGCATCTGTCATTCCATTACAATATGGACAAGCTAATCTTCCATGTGTAGTCCACCCAGACAACATACCATATGCAGGAAAGTCACTTATGGTCCACAAAAGCATCGCTCGCATCGTAAAGTTTGTTTCCGTTGAACAATCATATGTCCTCACCCCTGTTGACCACAAATCTTTCAACTCTTTTATCAGTGGTTGTAGAAAAACGTCGAGAGATCTTTTTGGATGTTTTGGACCAGGTATTAAGATGCTCTTGAATAGAAACTCTCGTCGCATGCACATCTCCGGTGGCAGGTTATACGGTGTAAGAAAGACCGGCCACAATGAATATTGTCTCCCAGACATTCCAAATGGACTAAAACCATCAGTGCATAATCCAAGATACACATTCCGGCTATTGCTAGCGAAATGTGGATGTACATTGTTAAAATGTTTCCAGGCT